AGAAAGTTTATGTCATGTTAGCTTTAGCAACACAACGTTTATGTCATGTTAGCATTAGCGACACAGAAAGTTTATGTCATGTTAGCTTTAGCAACACGATGTTTATATCATGTTAGCATTAGCAACACAAGGTTTATATCATGTTAGCATTAGTGACACAGAACGTTTATGTCATGTTAGCTTTAGCGACACATCATTTATATCATGTTAGCTTTAGCGACAACGTTTATATCATGTTAGCATTAGCGACACAGAACGTTTATATCATGTTAACATTAGTGACATAAAGTTTACCGTCATGTTACCATTAGCAACACAAAAAACCTTTTCCATCATGTTAGGGTTAGGGTTAACCCTAATGCCGTGTTGCATTAGCAACACTGTTGATGCTAGAAAACATCAGAAACACAAAGGAACAGCATGGAGCTGACAGCAAGCATGTCAGCTGAAATTACTCTGACGGCTTCTTCTCTGGAACCACTTTGCAGGTCCATTGATGAAAAGCTGCTGTGTTGGTGCTCTCCATAGTTACTGACCCCCACAGGCTGCTGCAGGAACTACAGGTCAGCTCTGCTGCCCCTACAGGCTGCTGCTGGAATTAACCAGCGTTCTGTAAATAAATCTGAGGATAATCAGCAGAGCGGAAGATCTGAGTCTGAGCTGCAAGAGAACCGGGTCGAACCAGAACCCAGAGAAGAACCAGATGGAACGGTCTGCTGCCGCTTCATGGGTCTGGCTTGAGGCGTGTCGGTTACCATAGCAACTCGCTGGAGGAGTGGTGGGAGGTGCATCTGGCCTGGCAGCGTCTGCGCCGTCCCCCGTCCTCCAGGTCCATCTCGTCCCACTTGTCCAGAGGAGAGGACAGGCTGACTGGGAAGACAAGCAGAGAGAGCAGATCCTGACCTCTGACCTCAGCGTGATCCATGAGCTAAAACAGGAAGTTCTCATTAAAGTAAAAGCTCAGATTAAGGTGTCGTCATGACGACTGGCTGACTTCAAAGCTTTTAACTAAATGAAGCAGCTGAGCCTCAGGATGAACTAGAACCTCCAGCTGAGTCTGGCCGGGTCCGGTTCCAGAACCAGACCTCTGACATTTTAATGACTCCAGAACCTCCATGATGTTCTCTGCAGAATCAACGAGGTCCATCCGAACCAGAACTCCTGGGTTCTGATGGACCTCAGAGGGAACCCGTCTGCTCCTGGCAGCTGAACCATAACTGATTTGGACCCGGTACCGGCCCGTCTTACCCGAGTCCAGAGACGTCCTGTTGGGGGTTCCGGGCCCGGCAGGCCGGTGCTCCAGCTGGACCGGGACCAGCTCTGTCTCCTCGGTTCTGGTTCTGGTTTTGTGCCGGGGGCTCCTGGACCCGGCTGGCCTCACTGGACTCTTGGTGACCCGGTGGTGCCGGGTCTCTGCTGGGTCGCTCAGGTCCACCAGGTCCAGAGTCGTGGACAGAACTGCAGCAAGACAGACAGGGCATCGGGTCAGAACTGGGTCAGAATAGAACCAGGTCAGAGCTGCTCTGGTCCAGTTCAGGGAAACATGATCCGGCCTGACCTGCAGCAGGTCAGAGGTCATTAGCAAAGCGGTTCCTGCTGAGTGTACCTGCGGGGTTGGAGGTCGGGGGTCGTCCAGAGGCGGCCTCGCTGCGGCTCTCTGCCAGGAAGTCATCGATGGAAGGGCTCAGCAGGGGGCGGCTCTCCTGCAACAGGCAAACAGACGGCTCCGTCAGCCAATCAGAGCGCTCAGCTCCACCTCTGACCTTCAGAGCATCTCCAGGACTCACTGCAGCCTGAATCTGATTTGACTAGACACAGGCCTCCTGAATCCATGTGACCCGAGTCTGAGCCACCAGGTGGCGCTTGTTGCCAAGGCGACCCGAGTCTGAGCCACCAGGTGGCGCTTGTTGCCAAGGCGACCCGAGTCTGAGCCACCAGGTGGCGCTTGTTGCCAAGGCGACCCGAGTCTGAGCCACCAGGTGGCACTCTGACCCTCGGTAAACTCCATGTTTACGCCTACTGAGCATGCTCAGTAGGCGACGTCACGGCACCCTCTGCAGCGCAGCAGGGACAGCAGATCACAACCATTATTAAAAAAAAAAGAAAGAAATCAGAACTGAGCATTAAGGCCTGCAGGAGAACGCAGCCTTGGTCCTGGTTCTGGTTCGGGTTCTGGTCAGACCGGACTTTAACAGGAAGTCATGACATCATCCTTCAGCTGATAAAAGTATTTGGGAATGACAGAAGGAAGCCTTCATCAATAAGGGTTAGAGGAAGAGGAGGAGGAAGAGCTTCTCAGACAGAGCAGCTGATGAAGAGGAGCAGCTAGAACTCTGCAAAGTGATGAAGAGTGTTTAATGTTTCCTCACTCTTGTGTTTCAGGGTCAGCTGGCCGCCTGTGAAGTCGGTGTGTGTGTGTGTGTGTGTGTGTGTGTGTGTGTGTATCTGCTGCGGCAGCATATTAACTTTAGGTCCTCTGGGGATCAGATGCTCCTCTGTCGTTTCAGACCCGGTTCTGCTGATCAGACCTCCGACTCCCTCTGGTTCTGGACTCAGGCCCGGGATTGAGACTTCTGATCATCTGGATCCATTGATCGGTTATGGATACGATGAGCTGATCAGCAGAACTGATCAGTTCTTCAGGTTCTGTTGCAGATTCTCTGTTTGGTGAAGGAATGTTTGTTCAGCAGAACGCCCGTTTATTTTTAGACCAACACACACACACACACACACACACACACACACACACACACACACACACACACATTGCCCCGGTCACCCTGACTGTAACTACAGGAGCCTGCAGAGGACACACCATCTGCTGCAGAGGAACCAGAGTCTCAGGGTTCCTCCTTCTGCTGCAAGGTCAGAGGTCATCACATCCACCTCACTCAGGAGGTCAGAGGTCGTCATTAAAACCTACAGGAAGCTGGGGTCAGGAACATCACCTTTAGCTCCACCCACATTCAGTGGAAGGACAGTCAGCATCACTCTTCATGTCAGGCTGCAGACTACTGCCCTGAGTTCTGACTGACAGGCTCAACTTTCTGATGTCCAGGTTCAGTCACACCTGATCATGATCCAGAGCTATGGTGGAATTTTCCTGCCATAATTCGAGAGCACACATTTTCATTTTGAAAGAAGGACTTCATATCTTTCTTCTCAAAACTTGTAACGCTTTTACTCAAAACTTCTCCTCGCGCTCACACTTAGTCTCTGCTCAGACTCTCTGCTCGCTTACGAAACATGGAACTGCCTTTTGGCACAGTCGCCTGGCAACCTCTCAGCCAATAAAATGAAAGACATAAATAAGTGATCAGTTCTTCACTGTTATGGTCTGTAAGATATTTATTCTCAGTATTAGATGTGGTCTCAACAAACCCATGGCACTTCAACAATATTATTTTACCTTTTATCTGGAAATAGTGTCTGTTTATTCTTGCCATGTAGTCTCTGTATTAATTATTGCTCAAAAGGTCTTGCCATACCAGTTTATTCCTCTGTATTTACTTTAATTTCTTTCTTGCATTTTGTTCTTCATTCATTTCCATTTAGTTTCCTTTGATTAATATTATCCTCTCTTAGTTTATTGCTATGTCCACTTTAGTTTCTTTCCTGTTGCTAGATTTATTTTATTGTTTATTGACCATCAGTAATCTTCACTCATCACCTGCTGCGCCGCCTAATCGTCATGTGTTTGCCACTGATATTGATTTTTCACTATTCACCAAAGGATTCTCGATCCTGATTCACATCTAGTTCGTTGCTCCGTTCTACATCCCGCTTCTCCTATTTCAGAGTTTTGCGAAACGTGCGCGTTGTTTTTTTTTATGTGTTGTTTGTTTCCGGTGCGGGGCGGTAGGGAGCGTATCGATGAAGAAAGGAGAAAAGCAGAATGACGTAAACCTTTTAAAACAAGGGAAAAATCCCGGCATTCTCATTATTAATATTCAAAAGTGCTGTGGTACCGTTTCATACCGGATCACTTACAGCACCGACTTTAACTCTATAAAATGATCTAACAAGTGAATCTGACAGCAACGTGATCAGCCGGTGTAAAGCTACCATCAGTTCTTGGCGCAGCGGAGAACATGCTGTTCATTTTGTGGCATGTTTTAATGTTACACAATACAGTTTTTAGCAAGTAGATCAAAGTCTAAACTGGCACTGTTGTGCATTTAAGATGTAAGGTTTACCTTCGACCAAACGCCCCCCAAAGGCATCGCAGCGCCCCCTGTTGTAAAAATTTCCGCCAGCGCCCCCTGCCGTCCACTGAACGCCCCCGTTGAGAAACACTGCTATAATCGATAATAGGCTCACCCGCTAGAAGGAAACAAACACACCCAGTACAACACTTTCATTCTATTGGCTAAGAAGTTGCCAGGCGACTGAGCCAAAAGGCGTTTCCAACAGCGAGCAGAGACTAAGTGTGAGCAGGAGGAGAAGTTTTTGGAGAAGACAGACATGAAGTCCTGGTTTCAAAATGAAAATGTGTGCTCTTGGATTATGGCAAGAAAATTACTCCATACTGATCCAGATCCTGTGTCTGCCGGCTGCAGTCGGGCTGGAAAGCTCTTCCTCTTCCTGTTTGTCTCCTTCCTGTCTGGTTCCAGCGTATCTTCCCATCACAGACATCTGCGCTCTGATTGGTCGTCCTCAGTGGAAAGACTCGACCCGAACTCCTGATCAGTCAAATCAGAACCGGATTGGTCAGACAGAAACAGATCTGATAGGATCTGATGGAGTTCTTGAATCATTCCCTGAGGGAACCAGAACCAGAACAAGGACCAGGACCCGTGTGGAAGAGATGGTAGACTGCAGGAGGAAACCAGAAATCAGCAGGAAGTTGGACTAGAACGTTCAGGGAACAGAAGCAGCATTCCCTGAACGGAGCAGCTGGTGAAACGTTCCGGAGTGCTGCAGTGACATTCCAGCAGCGTTCCTGAACATTCCCAAACATTCTCACAGTATTCCTGAATGTTCCTGCAGCGTTCCTGAACATTGCAGTCTGACGTTAGGAGTCATGAGGAAATTTTATGGAATGTTTGGGAATATTGTTGTTTCCCGGTCGGAGTTCTTCAGGTCCAGTCCGGTCCGGTTCCACTAAACCCAAACATGAAGAACTGAAGGAAAGTTCTGATCAGATTCCTGACAAACAGGACTGGAGGATTCTAATTCCTCTAGAACCACGGAGACGGAACCGCATGGAGGCGGACGCTGCTATCTGGATCTGGTCCTATCTGGTTCTGCTTGGTTCTGGTTCTGTTTGGTTCTGGTTCTGGTTCTGTTTGGTTCTGCCTGGTTCATATTTCTGGTCTCAGTGGTTAGAGGTCCAACCCAACTTGGTCCACTGGAACCAGAACCTGAACAGATTCAGGAACTGAAAGTTCTGCTGGTTCTGGTTCCGATCAGAACAAACTCAGTTACTTCAGAACCGGGTCAGAACCACATTTACGTCGTTTAAGGAACCAAGAAGCAAATAAATTCGGGTTCTTCTCCGTGACCCGGTTCTCTAGAACCCAGTAGAAACCTTGAGTTTCGGAACCGGGGGAACTTTCCTGGCTGGGTTCCGAACAGAACCATCCCTAAGCTATCTGGGTTCTGCTAGAGTTCTGTTGGGCTCGCTCACCTGGACTTGGTACATGGTTCTGTCTGCAGCCCCCGGCGGTCCACTTTGACACGGTTCTGCTGCCCCGAACCGCCGCCTGTCCGACCCGAACCTCCCTGACTTCTGGAGAGGAATGACGCCGTCTTCGATTCCGTTCCGGTCCCGGTCCGCTCACCGCGCTGGTCCCGGTTCCGCCGTGGTGTCACTGTGGTCCAGGTCCAGTTCCTGGTTCGGTTCGGCTCCGCGGCAGCTCTGGGCTCCTCGGTGTCCGAACTTCTTGTCGCTCCGCTCAGCTGGAGGCGGAGATGAAAATAAACCGAGCGGAGCCGAACTTGGCCGAACAGTTCCGAGGGCTGCAGACCCAACTTCCTGGGAGGTTTTCATAATAAAAGCTTCTCGAGGAGCAGCTGTCGATGATTTAGGTTCTGGTCGGAACCAGGTCCAGAGTAGAGGTGGATTCTCCGGGTATGGATCACTGGTTCTGGTCCAAATGAGATGAACCACAGTGGGTTACAGGTCGATGTTCTGGTTTCTGGTTCCGAGCAGATGCAGACACCCGAACGTGGTTGGGTTTTCGCAGAACGGAACCGAGGTTCTGTTAGAAGTTTCGCACTGAGCTAAGACTCTGTTTGCAGCTTCTTTTCCACAAACCTTTTATTGACTCTACCATGAAACATCGCCGCTGCGTGTTTAGTGGCTTGTTTGTAATAAATCATTGTTACTCGGCTCATTTTTAAAGCCCTGCTCACACCTGCTATTATTTTGGTTTTACTCCAGGTTAAAGTGCCATTGCTGCCCGGTTCTGCTTCGGGTTTTACTTCGGTACCAACTGATCCTCCTGCCTCCCGGTCCGAACCGAACCGAACCAGCTTGAGACGATATTGATGGAGAAGCAGAAGAAAGATTTATCTGAAGTCTGTGAAGGGCACAGCGCCCTCTGCTGGTGAGGTTATGGAGGTACAGTTCCAGGTAACCGGTCCCACCTGAGGACGACCTCAGAACCAGAACCAGAACTTTCTGGACATAACTAATGTAACAGTGTTTAGGTTGTAGAATCCCACTTGCTTTATGTATCAGTGCAGTGGGAAAATAGCGCCCCCTCTCCCTAGGTGAAAATAAACATACTTAAATTTGTGAAAGTACACTGTAAGTATACTAACTATTAAGTGTACTACCTATAAATATATATGAAGTATACTAAAAGTATACTTGTACCAATTTAGAAATTAGAACTTTAAACAAACTTAAACATAATTGTACCAAAATACACTTTTAATATACTAAATAAAAGTATACTTTAAGTGAACAAAATATATATTTGCCCAAGTCTAAATATCTAAATGTACACTTTCTCAAGTATATATATATTTTGTGTATATTTTAAAATATATGTTCAAAATAAAAAAAATTAAAAATTCACTTAACACTNACCACTAGGTGGCGTTAATTTGTTTCCGCCATTAAGAAGAAGAAGAAGCAGCAGCGCAGCGATGCTTTGAACAAAGATCTCTGACCACGAGGCTGGCGGCGTGGATTGAATCCAAACCGGTCAGAACCGGTTTGGATCGCAGACTGATGAGTTTCAGACTGTCTGACTCCGGTTCCGATCCAGTTCCGGTCTGGCGGGGAGGCTTCCACACGATTTCTTCTGACTTTTCTCTGCTGGTTCCGGGGGGCAGTGACTGAAGTACCGCAGGATGCTAACTGCTAGCTAAGGCCAGCTACATCAACTGGACCGGGCCGATGTGTCGGAACCACCCGGTCCTGGGTTCTTCTCCAGGTGAGCTGATCTGGGTTGGTGATGAGTAGATCGCGAACGTTTCGGTTCTTAGAGCCGGTTCTTTGAAGTGAACGACGGGAGCCAGACAGGTGTTTTGTCTGGTCAGCATAAGTCTACAATAGGTTCTATGAGTACGCATGCGCATTAGACACGTGGAGGAGCTGTCAGTTCAGCACACGCGACAAGATACGACAGAAAACAGGTTGTTTTAATAACTACATGGTTCTGGTTTCAACGTGTATTCAATGCTACAGCTGTTGTCACCTACAAAACACGACCGTATGAAACTCTCCACAAAGCATACAGCCTCTAATTATCGTTTTTTTATATAAATATATATAAAAGTTATTTTTCATGTCTTCCAGCCGAGGAGTTCTGGCTTCAGAGAGATTCTAGATTCATCCTGTGCAGTGAATCTGTCTCCTTATTTTCCCACTTCTTTCTCACATCGTGGCTTTAGGAAACCTTCAAAATAAAAACGGGAGATTTGGGAGCCATCTTACTTTTGACAGTGTGAAAGAATTACATATTAACAACAGTCATTGCCACCTGTGTAAACTGATAATATATTGATTATAATGTTTTATTTCTAACGTTGGCTCTTGTGATAATCTAAGTCCATGTTAAAAATGTTAAAACTTCTAACTAAATCTGGGTGAGCCTTCCTAGCGGGGCTGAACCCGGTATTACCCCGAGCGCTATAGCTAATATTACTGTCATTTTGCCGGTGGACATAAATACAGTATAGTAATATTCTGATCACAAAATATAAACAATATTATGTCCATCTTGTGAAAAGTTATTTCCCGAGCTGTCAGGTCAACAGTCCATCGATGTAAACAAAAATATTCCGCAGTGCTGAAGTTTCTGCTGCTGCTTTGGTTCAGCCAAGATGGCCGCTCCAAGATGGCCGCCGTGTTTCCTGCAGCCAAGTTAGGGTAGGACTGGTGCAGAATAAACAACCTGCTGCTGAACTCAACAAGACAAAAGAGATCATTGTCGACTTCAGCAGATCTCGACCCAACCACACCTGTCCTCATCGACGACAGAACAGTGGGGATCGTCAGCAGCGCTAAGTTCCTGGGGCTTCACATTACAGACGCCCTCAGCTGGACACCTCGCATCGGTGAAAAAGACACAGCAGCACCTGCACTTTCTGAGACGAATGAAAAGAGCTGCCCTCCTCCTCCCATCCTCAGTGGAAGTGAACCACTGAGATCCTGCTGACCAGCAGTACCTCCATCTGGTCTGGAAGCTGCAAGGCCTCAGACTGGAAGCCTCTGTGAAGAGAGGTGAAGACAGCAGAGAGGGTCATTGGGACTTCACTCCCATAAGCATTGCACTCAGATGCTGCTTAGCCAGAACAAACCAGATCCTCTGACTCCACCCATCCTCTCCATGGTCTGTTCATCTGGTTGCCGTCTGGCAGGCGGTTCTGTAGCATCCGCTGCAGAACCGCCTGACTCTCCCACTGGCCATCAAATTGCTCAACAATCCCATCACTAAGACTGTCTGAGACTGCTTGAAAATACTAAGTTATCTATATTTAGCAATACATTATTTTTTCAATATTATGTAATTATAGGCACACTTGTGTTTTGTGCGCTTGCTCCGGTGGCCAAGTGATGACAATTCATTGCTAATTTCACTTGTTTCATTGTGCAGTGACAATAAAACAAGTCTAAGTCACTGCAGGTCTACCCGTATGTCTGTGATGTTCAGGGTCCAGTTCCTGCTGAACTGGTCCTGGTTCACCAGAACCGCTGTGACCTCAAGCGCCACCCACCTGGAAGTGATGTAACAAAAGGCCGACTGAAGCTCCGCCCCCAGCAGTCTGTTCACAGAGGCGGGGCCGTGACATAAGCGGACCGAAGCGTGTTCTGATCCAGGCGGGTCGGTGCTCCGATTCCTCACCTGACCTACCTTTGTGATGTGACTCTGTTCCTCAGGTGAGTCTGCGCGTGCAGACAGGATCTGCGAGGGGCCGGGTCAGCGGCGAGCACAGGTGAGTGTTGTGATGTCACTGTGTGGGCGGAGCCTACTGGGAGATGATGTGAACAAAAGGCCGAATTGTAGCGCCACCCTCAGGCAGCTGGTTCTCAGAGTGCGGCGCCGTGACAAAGACCGACCGAAGCGTTCATCTGATCCCCATCAATTTAAATCTAAATGTTACAAAAACAGGATATGAATGTTGAACCCCACAATTTATTAACGCAATAGAAATTGACTTATTTGCAAGCTACAAATATTTGGGATCAATAATCAATGATAAGCTGGCGGTTAATATGAAAACTAATCTGTAAAAAGGTTCATCAGAGATTTTGGTGTGAAAAACAAAAGGAAACATTTAATCTGAAGCTTTTCTGTGGATTCATGGTTTGGAAACTAAAGTGTTCAGAAAAAAAAGGCTTAAGCAAAAATGTTACCGCTAGCTCAACTTCTCCTTTGTGACATTTTTATTTGTCGTTGGGCCAGAAAGCAAGGCTCAGCCTGATTTACATCTGGAGCTCCAGCGCCTCCTGCTGGCTGGAGGTTTCCTGGGTTAAACGGCAGCAGATAGAAGAACTGATTCTGTCCCTAAAATAGTGAGTTATAATTCCATTTTATATATTTATAATTGGTGCTTATATGCTTTCTTTTTTTTTATTAACATTTTTTATGTTTGTTTGAAATGTCTGGCTCTAAAACAAGTTTCCATTTAGGCAACAATAAACTGAAGCAAATCATGTGACCCTGGGAGCCAATAGGAGGCCAGCTTGAGGGCTCAGCTGATGACTCTCTTCCCCCAGATTGGCTCCACTTCCAGAATCAGACCGAACCGGGTCAGCAGTTCTGTTCTACTTTGATGATTCTGGAGCTGCTGGTCCGATCTCCTGAAACATTTTAATGAAACCTAAAAAGCTTTCCTTCCATTAATAAGAGTTGAAGCTCGGTTCTGTTAGAACCCTGGTCCTGGAAACGTGTTCTGATTGGTTCTGTGACGTCACGTTTTTTGAATAAACATTTATGAAATCTCCCAGTCTGTCTTAACGTCATTTGGAGGCTTTCCACCTTCTGTGGGATCCAGTTCTACCTCCACGGAGGAACCTCAGAACCTTCTGAGGTTCTGGAGAAACTTTAGACTTGGAGACGGTTAGAACTGTTGAATCAGCAACAAGCTGGGGAGGGGGGCGACTCCAGCTGCTGTGCTCCTGTCTTCTGTCCAGAGAAGAAGCTGCTGCTCTGGTTCTGCCAGGTTGACCAGCAAAGCCTATGGCGCCCCCTGTGGTTTTAAATGGACCCAGCTCTGACTCGTTTGTACCTTTCAGAACCACAGCTGGTTCTGAGCTCAATAGAACCTGGAGACCCGGGGATACTGGAAGGGAGCTCTCTATGATTCTGTTGGGTCAGAACCGGTTCTGTTCAGTCTGAGAGCAGCCGAACCCTAAATCAGCTGAAAGCTGACCCGAGTCTGGTGGAGGGGGGCGTGTGACCTTTGTCCCGGAACTGCTCCAGTATCGGCTCCGGACTCGGTTCTGGTTCGTCGTTAGAACACAGACCCAGAGGGATGCAGACTGACCCGGTTTCACAGGTAAGGAGCTGGTTCGAACCTTGGAACCGGACCAGGTCAGAACTCTGGAGGAGCTAGCAGTTAGCCGCTCCACCAGACTCCATTCAGAAAACTGCAGATAAGCTTTGATTGATTCGGTTTTGGATCCAGTTTGGTTTTACCTAACCTTGGCTTCCATCACACGACCGCTTTAGATGCACGCCCGAACCAGAGCAGAACCTTTCACCGAACCAAGTAACAGAACCTGGACCTGAAGCTCCTTTCAGTGTTGGAAGCTGAAGCTAAAAACAGCCGGAAAATGAATGGAGTTTGGTGGGAGCTCCGGCTGCCGGCTGCTCTCACGGTGCTCTGCTTCACGGTTCTTTTGACCCGGTTGTGGGTCCAATGTTCCCCTGAGATCCTTTAGAGGTTCTGCTGTGGTTGAAGGTTCTGGCTCTGACGTCATCATATAAACAACGAGGTGTGATCATGTTTACATCATGCGATGACATGATTGGCTGCTAGCTCCCCGTTAGTCGGGTCGGTTCGGCAGCTGGTGTGTGAATGGTTGATCCATCAGTACTGTGCCGGTTCCGGTCAGCATCCGGATGAACAAAACCAACTAATCCAGGGTTCGATTCAGTCAGTCTGCCCGACCCGACTGGTTCAAGTTGTGAAAGAACAACCTTGGTTCTGCTCAGGTTCTGTTCCTGATCTTTTATTGGAATTGGAACCAGGCATGAGACCCAGAATGTTTGGTCTGGTTCTGGTGGTCCAGATGCGGTTCAGAGGTGGTTCCACCCAGGTGAAAACAAAGTATACTAGTATATTTCAAACATACTTAAATTTGTGAAAGTACACTGTAAGTATACTAACTATTAAGTGTCCTACCTATAAGTATATCTGAAGTATACTAAAAGTACCAATTTCGAAATTAGAACTTTAAACACACTTAAACATAATTGTACCAAATACACTTTTAATATATTAAATAAAAGTATACTTTAAGTGAACAAAATATATATTTGCCCAAGTCTAAATATCTAAATGTACACTTTCTCAAGTATATATATATTTTGTGTATATTTTAAAATATATGTTCAAAATAAAAAAAATTAAAAATTCACTTAACACTATATTAATTTCAGTATGTTTTAAATTACATCTCAGTGTAAATTTTAGGCTAATAAAGTATGCCTTTTTTAACTTCTTCATTTAAGTTAAAAATAAAGAAGTTATCCATCTGAACCCCGTTGAGATCCAGATCTCATTTTCAAGAGGGACCTG